CGCACCAAGCCCCACAGCAGCAGGGCTGTGCTTCCACCCACAGAGTTCTCCAGCCACTGGATCTCTTCTCCCCAGCACTCTCCCTCCCTTCCCTCCCCCCCACTGAGCTTAAACACCATAAATGACCTATTTGCAGCACTCTGGGAGGGCGGGGGAGGAGTTACTGAGCACAGGGCCCCCAGCTTTTCCCAGGAATGCTCCAGCCTGGGAGCAGCCACCGGGATGCCGAACTACAGACGTTGCCGGGCGACAGAAGTCTGGATTACAACAGTCCAATCTGTGGGGCATAACACACTCAAACATTTTTAATCTTAAAATGTCATTTACTTGCCAGATTCAAGCCACTCTCTAGGCAGACTTGGTGGGCTTAAAAATTTTTTAAGCGAGGACTCTTCAAATAGCTTCTTGAAGTAGTTGAATAAAAGGTCTCCTCTAAATGCAGAATTTCACAGGAGCTAGCAAGATCACTTATGTTTGTCCATTTATAAAGAGCTATGGTTTGTCATAAGAAAACCACATGCGAGTCACTTCCCTTTTCACAAGCTTCCCTCTAATAATAATAAATTGGTTTGGTTATCTATCACCACTAGAAAGGATTCTCTTGTTGATTTGAGGCACAATTAACTTATGTTCCAGCTCACCTTCTAGCTCTCTACAAGGTGTTATCCCTCTTAGCAGCTCCCCACAAGAGAGTTACAATAGAAGAGATTAATTTGAATGCTAGCACTGGTGTATTACTTCCTTGCAGAAGGATTCACTGTTAATAACTTTGAATTATCTTGTTTTCCTAAATAATGGGTTTCCAGAGGCACGGTAAGAAACCTTATGAGACAAAATTGTGTGTGTGTGTGTGTGTGGAGGGGCACGTGTGTCACATTGCTGATCTTACATTACGAGGAACACCGGCTAATCACTTGTCCTACCTGATTTACCTTTCTCTAGGCCAGTAGTCAGCAACCTATGGCACACATGCCATAAGTGGCACACAAACCCATTTTCAGTGGAACACGTGGTGGAAGCTCAGCCCCTCACCTCCCCCCCATGCAATGGGGAGCCCGCGCTGCCGCTTGAGCCTCATGTCCAGGGGGCAGGCAGGGAGGCTGCTGATTGGGCTGTGCAAGCAGCCAGTACTCTCCCCCTGGTGGAAGCAGCAGTGACTCAGTGGAAGCAGGTGAGCTGCTGCTGCTGATAGGGGTGGGCACATGGAGCCTCAGCCAGGCAAGCTCCTCCAGTGGCTGCGGCTTGGGCCACGCAGGTGGGCTGCTCCTCCAACAGCCAGGGCCAGAGCTGCCTCCTGGTAGCGGCTGCTCAGGAATTTAATACAAAGCTGCACATACGGAGTGACTGGCTATACTAGTGGCCACTTCACCCCTACTAATACTGCAATCAACACATTTACTTAAATATGGATCAGACGATCCCTCCTCTGGTCAGCAAAGACACTTTTGAAGCACCCATTGTGCAGAGCTCCTAGCAAAGCGGCTACTGTGCACATAGCTCCCCCCCATATGGCCTCCAACTCAGGGCTTAAATATTGAATGTGGTTGGTGGCCATATCACTGGTGCATTTCATCCTTAATGCATAGTACTGACTGGAAAAATTTATGTATTGCATGTATAGTATGACTGAAAAAACTATTGCTCTTTACATATATGAATAGTATTGACCAGGAAAAACTATTGCTCTTTGATAGTCTCCAGCTTCCCCCCTGTGCACTAGCCTGGTATTCTGAGGCACCCGAAGCCAGAAAGAAGGAAAAAGAAAAGCCATCAAAATAAGGTTTTGTGGGGTTTTTGTTTGTTTAAGTACAGCAGGAAGAATTGGTTCTCAGCCACTAAATGGAAGTTCCTAAGAAACCAAAGTTAGATGTTTGCTCATTTCAGCCTTCTTGGAGAGACGAATATGGATTTGTTCAACATACCGCTCGTGCTGTTTGTGCTCCATGTTGTGAGAGCGTTGTTTGCCACACATCAAGTGTTCAATGACATTTTCAGACAAAGCATGAGAAACACTTCAAGGATGAGGCTGAGTCAATCAA